TATCACTATTTAGCGCGACGGTAAGTAAAACAAGTCTACGGGTTTATACCATATAGTTTCAACATCACACTCTTAAGAACCCATTATGTAGTCTATGTATTTATGCGTAGTTACATGTGTACGAAATAACACTGTAATGAGATGGTAGATACATAATCGTCTCACTCCTGACCACCACAACGACACACTAAATGGTTATGACACACACACACACACACACACACACACACACACACACACACACACACACACGACCATTTTCTATAAGCCTGAGGGTCCGTGGGTACCGCCGAGTCGCTTGCGTATACCATAAGAAAAGTTAAATATTTCAACACCAGGACTGAAGTTTTTAATTCATTTACCCTGAAGCCAACTGGGGAATGTGGAGAAATTAATCCCTAAGGTACAGAGGAAGGTTTGAGTACTGCTGCCTCTCCATCCCTCTCTTCTCTCACTTCCCTCTCCATCCCTCTCCCCCCTTACACATCATCTCTCTTCCCTGTCCTACACATACCATCCCTCTCCTCTCCTACACACACACATTATACCTTCCCCCGTCCCTTACACACCCCTCTCTCTTCCCTCTCCTCACACATCATCTCTCTTCCCTCTCCTCACACACCATCTCCCTCGCCCACCTATTCATTTCTTGTCATCATCCTCTTATTGTTCTCTCCATCTTCCTACTCTTTCTTATCTCCTTCCCCCTCTCCTCCCCTCTCCTTCCCCCCCTCTCCTCCCCTCTTCCCCTCTCCTCCCCTCTTCCCCCTCTCCCTTCCCCCTCTCCTCCCCTCCTTCCCCCTCCCTCCCCTCTTCCCCCCTCTCCTCCCCCTCCTCCCCTCTTCCCCCTCTCCTCCCCTCTCTTCCCCTCTCCTCCCCCTCTCCTCCCCTCTCCTTCCCCCTCTCCCACCTCACTATACAACAGCTGATCAGGGTCTAGGATTCTCAAACACACTTATGTTAAATGTTTCTCACCATCAACCAGACTCACTGACGCTACGACACACAGATGGTTTCTCACAGACTCACGTCCCCTGAGACACAAACATGGCTGTCAAAATGGCGCTGGGATTACACTGAGACTCTAATCTTAAGGGGCGTTCTCAATTTAGTCTCCCATTCATAAGGTCGAATAGCGAGTTGGTCACCAGTTTATTTAAGGAAATCTCAGCACATTCTTCACAATGCAAGGGGACGGCGTCTAACCTAACCTAACCCTAAACTAACCTAACCCTAACCTAACCTAATCCTAAACTAACCTAACCTAACCTATCCTATCCTAACCTAACCTAACCTAACCTAACCTAATCCTAAACTAACCTAAACTAACCTAACCTAACCTAACCTAACCTAACATAACCTAACCCTAAACTACCCTAACCTAACCCTAACCTAACCTAATCCTAACCTAACAAAACTTTTTAAAGAAAATTGGAGAAAAGTTTAATGATAAATAATAAAAGAGAGAGAGAGAGAGAGAGAGACAACATTAACCGTCACAACAAATGAGACAAGGGGGGGGGTGTTAAGGGAAGAATAATACACTTACACCCTGTATTAAGTTTACTGTACTGGCCATCACTCTCTCTCTCCCCCCCCTCTCTCTCTCTCTCTCTCTCTCTCACTCATTGGGGAGTAGAAATGTTTGTTTGTTTGTTGTTTTATTGGCCGAGTGGATACAACGTTTGCTTCCTGTCCTGAGGGGCGGTGGTTCGCACTCGGCCATGGCCCTCAGTCCACCCAGCTGGGAATGGTTACTAATTATCGTTACAGCTGGTGGAGTACAGGTTAGGTTAGGTCAGGTCAGGTTAGGTTAGGTTAGGTTAGGTTAGGTCAGGTTAGGTCAGGTCAGGTTAGGTTAGGTCAGGTCAGATTAGGTTAGGTCAGGTCAGATTAGGTTAGGTTAGGTCAGGTCAGGTCAGGTTAGGTTAGGTCTGATATATGCTACAGTACTTATTAATTTAGGAATTTGATTTGTGCATCCAATAATCCACTACGACCTACACATACCCTCTAACCACACCCTTGTGAACATACCCCGTGACACACCCCACTAACCACACCCTGTAACATCATCTGGGCATCAAACGACCACCGCTGCCCACAAACATCCAGCCAACGATCTATCCTTGTCGACGGTAACTCTGCTTCCCAGGAGAGCTTCGGGTATGGGTGCCACCGTTTCCTGGGTGTCATCGTCTCCTGGGTGCCCTTGTCTCTCGGGTGCCACCGTTTCCTGGGTGTCATCGTCTCCTGGGTGCCCTTGTCTCTCGGGTGCCACTAATGTTTGATCTAGTGGACGGGAGACGCGCCAGGAGGGAGTGGAACCATCAGTAGTGGTGACACTCAGTTGTGGCAGGTTATCTCCTGCCCACCTCAATAACCCGGGAGATAAGTCTGTCCTGGTCTATACTGAGGCGCCCAGGCATCTCCTGCTCTCCTTACTTAAACTTTGTGTTATTATACTTTAACAAACTTATTATATACAGTACAGACAACTTTTACACACACACACACACACACACACACACACACACACACACACACACACACAGACACACACACACACACACACACACACACACACACACACACACACAGTATATATGAACCTCAAATACTGTGAGGAGCGGCGGGGCCCGGGCGCGTCAGCACGGCGGGGGGCTGCTGGGTGGCCCACCCCTGGGGTCGACCTTTGTGTGGCCCACCAGGCGGCAGTGGTGGCCATTGTGCCGCCCCGCAGGGCCACTCCTGCCACACACCACCACCACTATTATTATAACAACCACCAACAACACCTTCATTATTATTTTCATCATCATCATCATCATTATCACCACCAGCGTCCATCCGCCACACACACACACACACACACACACACACACACACACACACACACACACACACACACACACACACACACACACACACACACACACACACTTTCTATTCAATAATATTGTTTACAATATACGAGTTATTATTACTTCTATCATATTATTTCTCCTTTATTTTCATTACCATACAGTAAGTACAGTATAATTATCAGGTACAATTACCATTTATTTCAATTATCATCAACGTCATCAAAATATATTATCATCCATTAACTTTTTTTGGCATTGTTCATTTTATTCATCCTAACTTATCCTAGTTTCATAATATTTCCCCCATTTATCTTTATAATTCATTATTACTTTCTTTACATTATTATTATTTACCGCTTTAACACTTCCTCATTTATTACTGAATAATTATACAAAAAATTAACCAAGACTAATTTAACAATTTAATCTGAAAATAATAAAAAATGAATAAAAACATATAAGTAAATACAGATAAAATCGTCTACTGTACAATTAAAATTTCCTTTAATTTAATTTCCAACAAACAATTAAAAGTTTCATTCCCGTGATTCGAGAATTTATCAGACATGTGTTAAATTATCATTATGCAAATTATTCACATGAATTAATTGTCGGACACTGAGTAAATCGGTCACCAGGTAGACTGTAGGCTAGTTTGGCCAGGTAGGCTAGGCAAGGATGGCCAGGTAGGCTTGGCACAAGGATCACCAGGTCGTGTTGGCTAGGATCACCAGACAGGCAGTCCACGCCAAGGGGTCACCAACCTCACCAAGCACAAGTGATCAACAGGAGAGCAATGTGGGTAAAGGTGGCGGTAAGAGGGCGAATCCAGCAGGGAGGGTCAGGGGGTGTCAAGGGAGGGGCAGGGGGTGTCAAGGGAGGGCAGGGGGTGTCAAGGGGGCAGGGGGAGGTGTCAAGGGAGAGGCAGGGGGTGTCAAGGGGCAGGAGGTGTCAAGGGAGGGGCAGGGGTGTGTCAAGGGGGGCAGGGGGTGTCAAGAGGGGGCAGGGGTGTCAAGAGGCAGAGGTGTCAAAGGAGGTCAATGGGTGTTAAAGGGGGTGTCAAGGGAGTTCAGGGGAGTTCAGGAGGGTTGGGGGTTCAGGAGGGGTCAGGGGAGGGCGGGTGTCTGTTAATTTGGTGACCCCCCCCGTGTGTGTGTGTGTGTGTGTGACAAAGGTTGAAAAAATATGTTTAAGTCGCCCAGTGGAACCCGCCGCCGAGTGCGTAAAGGAGTTATTTTCACCGTGTAGAGCGTCTCTGAGTTATCCGAAGGTGGTAGTGGCGACAACTTGGCTGGCGGAGGCGCGGCTGGTGGTGGTGGTGGTGGTGGTGGTGGTGAGGTGGTGAGGTGGTGGTGGTGGTGAGGTGATGGTGAGGTGATGGTGAGGTGGTGGTGATGACGGTGGAGTGTATTTAAATTTAGTGAAGGTGATGATAGTTTTAACAACAACAACAACAACAACAACAATAATAATAATAATAATAATAATAATAATAATAATAATAATAATAATAATAATAATCCCAGGGCAGCAGCAGGAAGAATGACACAACACTCACTCAGTCAGCTCACGTCGACGAAACTTAACTCTGAACTAAGGAGTGAGTAAGTGAGTTAAGGCCAGACAGACAGGTAACACGTGGTACCATAGTGAGCTTACCTGAGTCAAGGGATCCTTCACTCTCCTCGTCGTCTGATCGATCTCCTGGAAAGATAAAAGGGAAAAAATTAGGGGCATTACTATAGACATGGGGAAAATATTAGGGGAATTAATATACATTTGGGGGAATAAATATAGACGTTGGGGAGAAATTAGGGAAATAATATACCTCCTTGTGATGAAAATACTAGTCAAGTAATGGCGAGGAAAGTAGAGAGAAAATTTTAGAATAACTTTATGAAATACACTAAAACATTAACCTAACCTAACCATATTTTATCTTAACCTAACCTAACCAAACGTAATCTAACCTATCTTAACCTAACCCTACCTTAACCTAACCTAACCAAACCTAGGATCGTCGGGTGTATAGGCTCAGTTTGGCAAGAACTTGTGGTCTGCTTTCAATCTCGTTACCTATTCATTAAAAACAAACCGCTCGCCTTAACATCCCTGCTATAGGAAACAACCAAAAAAACAACCAGAAAAAAACAGAAAACAACCAAAAAACCAGAAAAAACACAGAAAACAACCAAAAACAACCAGAAAACAACCAAAAACAACCAGAAAACAACCAAAAAAAACAAGATGGTGGACCGAACTTGCCCCTTTAGCCAAAAATTGTGTTGCAGTGTCCGACGGTAGTAATCTTGTTCAATATACTGTACACACCGCCAAAAAATAACTTCCCCATGTTTATTAGGCAGTCATTTAACCTGTCGGCTTATGACAGACAAAATGTTGCAACCTGGAGGAAGGAAGAAGAGGGGGGGGGAGGGGGGAGAGAGGGGGAGGAAGGGGCGTGAGAGAGGGAGAGAAGGAGGTAGGGGGAACTTTTTTATCCTATTACGCTACACTATTACAACCCGCCCTATTATGAAATGTTTACCGAGTACAACATACAGTTATTGTCCCCCTTGTTAACTTGCTAAGGGTTGTAATTGCCACCAGTACTGTACGATGTCGGTAATTTAAGTCAATATATTACATGAAGGAAGGGAAGAGTGTTGTACTACGGTAAGAGGCTGTCTGTATCTTTATCGTGAGTGAGGGATATAAACAAACCCTCCCAATTTTCTTCACTCTCTTTTCTTCATAGCGAGAGCCTGTATGTGCTCCCCAGACCGCCGTTTACGTGTAATAATTAGCATCCGAGTCGAGAATTTTTGGGCTCATCTGTGGGAGTTTTAACGCGGCTGTGTCTACAAGTACACCATCCTGTAGTCTCTTTTACTAACTTCTATTGTCATTTTTATCTGCAACTTCCTGAGCTCTTGAAGTATTATAGAAAAATGTAAATCCAAACACGTGAGTGATTCAATATTCATTCCACGTTGCCGTGATGAACCTTTCTGGATAATTTCGCTCAGAGGGGAGTTGGAAACGCCAGGCGGAAGCAGCCGCAGCTCAGGGACACGGAGCGAACGTCAGTGGGAGAGTGGGAGGCGTCTGAGTAATCTGTCGGTGTAACAAGATCCCTGGGGGGCGCAGCGCCAGACGACGATCCAGGAAGGGGGGCTCCCAGGGGGCATATCCCCCCCTCCCTCCCCAACATTTTACTCCTCCACTCACCACCACCACCACCTGCCTCCCACTGTGTCCCTGTTGGTCCGCACCACCACCACCCAGGTCGTGTGTTGGACGACTAGAGTAGTTCCCCCCCCAGCACCACCCAGGTCATTGGTAACGGACGACTAAACAGTTCCCCCCAGCACTACCCAGGTCATTGTGCTGGACGACTAAATAGTTCCCCCCAGCACCACCCAGATTCGTGTGCTGGACGACTAAGTAGATCCCCCCAGCACTACCCAGGTCGTGTGCTGGACGACTAAGTAAGTTCCCCCCTCAGCACCACCCAGGTCATTGTGCTGGACGACTAGAAGTAGTTCCCCCCTCCTCAGCACAGGTCGTATGCTGGACGACTAGAGTAGGTCCCCCAGCACCACCCAGGTCGTGTGCTGGACGACTAAGTAGTTCCCCACTGCTTTACCAGGTGTGTGCTGGACGACAAATAGGTCCCCGCACCGCCCAGGGGTCCATTGCTGGACGACTAAATTAGGTCCCCCCAGCACCACCCAGGTCGTGTGTTGGACGACTAAGTAGGACCCCCCAGCACCACCCAGGTCGTGTGCTGGACGACTAAATGGGTCCTCCCCCAGCACCATCAGGTCGTGTGCTGGACGGCTAAGTAGGTCACTCCACAGCACCACCCAGGTCGTGTGTGCTGGACGACTAGGTCCCCCAGCACCACCCAGGTCGTGTGCTGGACGACTAAGTAGGTCCCCCCAGCACCACAGGTCGTGTGTTGGACGACTAGAGTGGTCCCCAGCACCATCAGGTCGTGTGCTGGACGACGAAATAGGTCCCCCCAGCACCACCCAGGTCGTGTGTTGGACGACTAGAATCCCCCAGCACCACCCAGGTCGTGTGTTGGACGACTCCAGGAGTGACCGGTCTACCGCATCCCCTCCATCACACCACCGTCCCACGCCTCCCTGCCTCCACCCTCACCACACACTCCCCACCCTCACCACACACTCCCCCACCCTCACCACACTCCCCCACCCTCACCACACACTACCCCACCCTCACACTCCAGCTCATAACCTCAACACCGACAAACACGACAGCTATGGTTCAGGTAGCGAGTATCACAAAAAAGAACGCCTCCACCTGAACAAGACAGGCATACGTGTTCGTGAGGCGCAGCTTATGCAAGTCCCGCCATTCTGGAGGTTGGATTTGAACGCCAGGCGAAGGCGATTGCTCGTGCTAGTTGTAGGTTTCTTTTTCTTTTATGGGAAGGCCGCGACTTAGCTAGATGGACCTCCCTTTCGCTCTCTCCTGGGACGCTATTATTCGTCTCGGCTTCCTAGTCACGCTTTTACTGTGTATTGGAGTCCCTCACCACACCCTAGCCCTCCTGACCACACCCCAGCACTCCTGACCACACCCCAGCACTCCTCACCACCCCCAGCACTCTCACCACACCCCAGCACTCCTCACCACACACCTAGCACTCCTGACCACACCCCTGCCTCTGACCACACCTGCCTCCTCACACCCCAGCACTCTGGCCACACCCCAGCACTCCTCACCACCCCCAGCACTCCTCACCACACCTAGCCCTCCTCACCACACCCCAGCACTCCTCACCACACCCCAGCACTCCTCCCACACACCCCAGCACTCCTGACCACACACCTAGCCACTCCCTGACCACTAGCCTCTTGACCCACCCCCAGCACTCCCTGACCACACACCTAGCCCTCCTGACCACCCCCCAGCACTCCTGACCACCCCAGCCTCCTGACCACACCCCCAGCACTCCTGACCACACCTAGCACTCCTGACCACGCACCTGGCACTCCTGACCACACACCTGGCACTCCTGACTACACACCTAGCCCTCCCTGACCACACCCTAGCCCTCCTGGCCACACCCTAGCACTCCTGACCACACCTAGCCTCTGTGCACCTAGCACTCCTGACCACCTAGCACTCCTGGCCACACCCAGCCTCCACACCACACACCCAAACACTCACCACACCCCAGCACTCCTGACCACACCCTAGCACTCCTGACTATACCCAAACACTCATGACCACACCCTAACACTCCTGACCACACCCCAGCACTCCAGACCACACCCTAACACTCCAGACCACACCCTAGCCCTCCTGACCACACCCCAGCACTCCTGACCACACCCTAGCACTCCTGACTATACCCAAAAGCTCCTCCTTACAGCTACACCTGCACAATACACTCACCTGCTGAAGATCACTAACACAACACACTACAACACAACACTCCGCCTTACGAAATTATAACAAGGAAGGCGTAGTTAACAAGTGACCTTGACCTGAAAACAATTAGGGATCTTCCTCATCCTGGGGTCAGAGGGAATACCTGTGTAATATATTGTTGACAAGTACATACAGGTAAACAGGTACAAACACAGGTAGACACATAAACACAGGTACACACACAAACACAGGTACACACATAAACACAGGTACACATACAGTATAAGCATAGGTACATACACACAGGTAAACACAGGTACACACAGGTGATATAAAAATAGTCAACCAATGAATGACTTTTGTAAACTTTAATTTTTAGCTTTATTATTGTGGTTGTATAGTCCCAGTTGACAGTTGTGTGAGTTACGTTCCTGTACAGTTCTGTCGCCATAATGTATAGCGCCATACATCAATCTAAATTCCTCGCTTATTTAATGATTTTTTTTACGAATAATTTTACCTATACGACCACCACCTGGCTGTCCTGTCACCTGTTAACAATGATGATGAAGATAAAGTTTATATTATGACACACACACACACACACACACTATAATGGTTGTGTCCGTGTATAAAGAACTACAAGTCTTCAGGTACAGTATGTCATCAGATGCTTTGTGTGGGACGACTCCGTGGTAGGAGACGACCCTTCTTATACAGTAGAGGTAAACAAACAGTGGCCTCTCAGTGACCACCTGGCGGCCTCTTATATAACGTTATACTAGAGGTAATATAACGTAGGATAACATTAAGGAGGATGGTGTGGCGTGCTGGACGGTAGTTCCCACCGACCCCCCTGCCCCCGGTTAGGGCCACATGGGAGGCAATTATTTGCATGTGCCCCGCCTTCTTCCCCCTAGAGGGAGCGCCGTGCCTTGTTACGCTGACTAGGTAGAGGGGGAGACGCGCCCCCTCCCGGTAATGGCTACCTTGTGTCGTCCCATTAGAGGAAACTCAAACACTAAATATGTATAGCGGGAAGGTGTGGAAGAGTTGACGCTTCCATTATTGATGACGGACACCCCGGCCACACACCGCACCTCACACACAACTTAATGTTTTACTCCCCGTAACTGAGAGCAGCAGCTAGTGACGGCCTCAGTGTGTTATTGACACCGTGGAGGGTGACACCCATACTGAGGAAGTTCTCACACGTCCGCCTCCAGGAAACAATTATCAGACAACAACAACACCAATAATAATAATAATAATAATAATAATAATAATAATAATAA